TAATTGGCCTTCATTTTTTGTTTATTTTATTATTGTTTTTTAAGCTAGCTGTAAGTTATCCGTAAATAAATAAAATAAAATAAAAATAAAAATACTGTAGATGTTAGAATCTTTAGATACGTTTATATGTAGATGTTCTATATAATTTAATAATCATGTATATGGTTGACTTTTAACAATGCCTTAGTCTCATAAAATTGGCTAGACTCCAGACTGCTTGACATGGACTAGAAAATCTGCTCGATTCGCTATTAAACCCTTTTTATAATTTTTTAATGTCTTCAGTTTTGCACACAATTATAAACTAGACTGATGATTTTAACCCCACTGTTTGTACGTGATTTTAGATTTTTTTTACTAAGCGTCTAGTCGCATGCGACTACAAGAAAATATTTCCAATTACAGTACGGAGGACCAATATCAGACCGTGGTCTAATGAGTACCAGATTGCAGTTTGTACCGAAAGGGAAATGTGAAAGGATGCATCAGATAAAACTAACAACAGATATGTTTTGCTTGTACGGAGACGGAGTTCGGGATACATGTAAAGGAGATTCTGGTGGAGGAGTTATATGGAATGGGTATGTTTTTTTATATTAGGAGTATGTAAGTATACCTTTATATTTTGGATTAATTGCTTCGGTATCGGGAAGAGAAGGAATACAGTTAAATCTAATTTTGGTCTGTTTACGCTACAAAAATTGACTACGGATTTTTTTTTTTAAATTGCAAAAAACCAGCGCTTGACCACTATCCCACCTAGACCAGGGTGAAGATGTGGTCGAAGGATGGTACGCGCATGGATTTGTGGCTCTCTTAATATTAAAAAGATGGACAATATCCTATGTTGTAGAAATAAGGTTTCTGGGATTAATTATGTATATTCTTTTTACAGAATGATCGCTGGTATAGTGTCTCACGGAGACGGATGCTCTAAAAAACATAAACCGAGCATCTACACGAATGTTTTGTTTTTTAGAAATTGGATTAGATCACAGGTTAAAAATTTTGTTGAAAATTTTTGCAAAAAACGTAACAAAAGCATAAACAATTCATAAGTAAATTAGGGCATGTATCATTAATTTTAAAGAGCGAAATATTACAAAATGAAATTAACAAGTGCGAAAACAAAATTTGGAATTTGTCTAATTTCGAAATACGTATTTCAAAATGAACTTATTTACAAAAATACATTAAAGATTATTTCTATGTAAAAAAATGTCGTCGCAGTAGTGTTATAAGCTTATTAATTTTTCATTTTCATATGAATATATACAAAACTTGATGTCTTTTAACTATTCTATGAGAATTTCTTAGATTTTCAGATTTTTTTGATATCCAAGAATTTATTCTATTCAGCGTATTCATAGGAATAGGAATTAAATTCAGATTCTTGATTAGTTTCACATCGTCTTCTAAGAAAACGTTTTGTGTTGAGCATTATCCATCTGTAAGAGTTGTGTTGAAAATATAACATCTTTCGAAGTGCGATTTTTATCAAATAAAAGTAGTTGTAACAGAAACTTTTGTGATATAAATTTAAGGGTAAAATATACACGTTTCTTAACAAGTTTAAGTTCGTAATTCCATCGCTGGAGGTCAAAGAGTTAAAACATGTCGTAAGTAGTGTTTTATTGTATGTTTGGAGCAATACAGTAAAAGTTAAAATATTATACTTTTTAATAAATTTGTTTTATCTCTGACGCAGGTATAAGCTTATCTTATCGTATCGTACGAAGCTTTGCTTTATTAAAGCTTTGTTATCAATAATGTTGATAATGATATAGATAAAGGCAAAATTTTTCTCTTCAATTTGTCATTTTTGGTTAAAATATTTTTGGAAACTTTAATTAAAAGTCATGATAAAGAAGTAAGTTGAACTTGATGACTAAGTATGGTCTGGTAATTATGTTTATTACATAAGTTCTATTAAAACGAAAAAATCATAGTTACCTGTAGAAGTATGAAATATTTGTAAAGACAGCTAAGTACGGTTCCTTTGGTTCAGCATTTCCAAAAGACAAAATACCAACAAGAAGGTCTTCATATACCGCGGCGCCACCATTGTCATATAGACGTCGTCCCTGAGAGAGAAAATAATAACAAGAAATAAAAATCTTTACTTCTCTTTAGGAGTTTTTATATCTTTTTAATTTATATTTAAGTTTAAGAACGAAAATGAAATACTAAAAAACTATCTAAAAAATAACTTTCCTTCAATTGATTACATATTATGCTAATAGATGGCAGCACTTGTTAGTTATCCCAGTTTTCACTTAATTTTTTTATTATTTTAATTATTGTCAATGAAGAATTGTATTATCTTAGATACAAAATACTATATTTATCAAGCATTGCTTTATTGAGTAATGCATTTATCAGTTGTGATAAATAACTCACAAGTAAGTAGTACTCACTAAGTTATATTTTGCGCAAAAGTTCGACTGCGTAATGAGTCCTCTATAGTTTTGAACACAGTTTTCTCTATTTATTACCATCATCTCTGTCCACAATAATACGTTTCCAATTTTCGGGGTTAGTCTCTGAAAGTAATCAGTTGGTAAAGGTGACCTCTTAAAATATACCATGAAACTTTTACATGCCGTGGTTAATCCAGTGTTCAACATCGAGGTTACAATTAATGTTGTGTGTGTTTGACAATAGATGGCGCTTTTACCAATTGAGAAGTTTTACCGATTAATCCTACGTGTAAATTTTTAAGAAACTTTAATGGCTAAAATAAGTTAATAAATATTTTGAGATAGTATAATAAAACTCTTCAGTGAAATTTTAAGACCTGGGTGACGAAAGTCTTTGAGGTTCTTTGTGGGTTAAATATTGTACCCCTAGATAAAGTTTTTATGGACTGAATCTTAACATCCTGGATAATTCTAGACTTACAGAGTTGGCTACTCACAGATGTGCTCCAGCCAGATACTGTTATTGCTGTATTTTCTCTTACCACGGTCTCCGGCTCTACAAGGATCACTTTCTTCACGCCTGAACTAAATATAACGTGATTCTGTAATAAAAAATTCATTACTCAAAGTATATCCCAGCAAATATTTACATTTTTAATACAACACTCACATTAATTACGGGATTAGACATTCTCATTTACGTTCTATATATTTCAAGATGTTTTTATTAGAATGTTTTTAATTTATTCTACAAGTTATCAATATTTTAACTCACTTTAAGAAGAAGTAGAGCGATATCATTGTCCGATTCGCACAGATGTTTATAATATTCATGTATTTTAATCGAATCCACGTTATAAATATTTCTGAAATAAAGATAGAGAATTTCCATCACAAAACTGGCAAATGCGACATACACTTTAATTTTAAAACTTTCTGGAAATCTATCTTCTATTAGACTTTTATTGAATACTAGCTTTCGCTCGCGACTCCGGCCTCGTGGAATTAAAATAAAAACAAAAGTGAGTATGTTAAGAACACATACTCACTTTTGTTTTTATTTTTATTATTACAGACTATCCTCTACATCTACGCCAAATTTCATCGAGATCCGTTCAGCCGTTTGGTCTACAAACTCTAAGAAACATCCATCCATCCATTTAAACTTTCGCAGTTATAATATTAGTAGGATTAGTAAGATGATTCCTATTAGATGCCATTTCCACTCGACGTTTGACGTGAATATTGATGCTTAAATCCGTAGATTGCAAGTATAGTGCTTTAATACTTACTCCCCGTCAGAAAGAATGTTGCTACCGACTTTTACAACGACTTTCTCATCTGTGTTTTTCCAAAAGCAACTCGCTGTAGTTACAACAGTAATGCTGCTGACAAGACTTCCAGAACAGAACAAATTGCTGTATATTATAAGCACATGATGTGGTACTTCTTCTATATTAGGCGTATAAGTACGTTGTGTACTGATTGGATTAAGATATACATCATGTTCTGGTAAAAAACGGTATGTGAATGCGGGAGCATAAAGTAGGAATACACTAAGGAATCTGAAAACAGAAAATAATCATACTATCATACTAATATAATAAATGTCTTTCACATTTAGATAGACGGATAGATGGATAGATGGATAGATGGATGCATGTTTGTTAGAGTTTGTAGCCTAAACGGCTGAACTGATTTCGATTAAAATTTGGTACAGATGTAGAGGATAGTCTGGAAGAATACATAGGCTACTCACTTTTTTTTTTAATTCCGCGCGAACGGAGTCGTGAAAAAAGCTAGTGGTACGTACAGAACACAATTTGTTTTAGAAATAAGCACATTTTAAGGGTATTTGAATCTTTTTTAAGATGATAAAAGTAAATATCAAAAACTGTTCATTACTCGATGACGAAATTGAATCTATAAGTTGCATAAAGAAAACTTATTTAACAAGAAAAAATAAAAGAATGAAATGTAAATATTTGGAAATGTAACAAACGACCTTTGGCTTTACATCACAGGAAATTGGAAGGGTAAGATGTTGCCAGTCATGTTGCGGCTTTAAATAAACAGCTTGTAAGATTTCCGAGGGATGAATTTACATATTTCTCAAAGGAAATTAAATGTAAACAAAGTTGGTAATTATAGGACAACATTGGTAACATAGTAAATAGCATTTTTCTTTTCCTTAATTACAGATTGCATTGTTGTTAACAATTTAATATTCTTGTGCATAAACTTCTAACCTAAGTGCATAGAATATTATTATGCCATTTAATATTTATCGTCTAAAATTACGTCAAGTTTTTGTCTTTAAAATTAATCATTTGTTTTCAATCATCACACCTTTTTTCATTATATAACCTTAATTAACTCTACTTAAGCCTATCTCTGGATTTTTACGTGCACATTTCGAGCGCGAACACACCCATGACTAAACTATCGCACAACTGTTTAGTCTCGGTTTGATTCCTATAAGCTTATTTGGAGTTGCCTACCCTACTCGATTTTTAGTTGTGAAACTAAAGAGTTGAATTGGCTGAGAAACAATCGACAATCGCACAATAGTTGCATTATAGTTTAGTCAAAGGCCCACTCTTATACTTAAGCCTTTGTCTTTCATGTCTTCCTTATAAGATGCCGATACCATGGTAACCTTTGTTCCCTAATTCAATGCTATTATTATAACGTTATAAGAAAATACAAGCTAATTGTGTGTATTTACAGTGTTGTGTTAACTTAATTTCTAGTCTGGCGTAGTGAGTAGTAATCCAGATCACAATCCCTAGCGGCATAATGTGAGTCGTTAGACTAACATGTACGGACCCCGGGGGCTCGCCTAACAGCCTACAGACATTGTAAACTAAGCCCGAACTGTTGCTCTGGGACTCTCTTATGATCTCAAGCATTTCTGTTGTCATTCACAAGGGATTTGCTTTCAATGTTTCGATTCGCTTCTACAAGATTGATTAAAATTTTTTTTATTCTATTTGTTGCAATATTCACTAATTTTATGTCTATTTGACATTAATTAAACCTTTTTAATTACACGAGTAACGTTTATTAAAATAATAACGCATTTATATTGCCTTTGCATATGGAAAAAATGCTGTATCCGGCAGATAATAACATCAGCGTAGTTATATCCTTGCATAATCAGAAAGCAAAGTTAATATTACGTAGAATAAGGATGATTTCCATACTTACGCGTTCATCTCGCTCGGAATATGAATTTTAATGCGAGAGTTAACTCGATTCCTCGAGCGGGTGCCGCATAATAGCAAATATTTTCAAGAGCGACGCTTGTTAGTGCAGAGATTTCATTGAAAGTCAAGTATTTAGCTCCCGACCGATACAAAGGGACGAAGCGAATAAAACTATAGAATATACTTCGATATAAATAAAATTCACAATCATACTTTGTCGACCGTACAACTGATATGAAGTTATTACAGTTTTGCGAACGAGTCGTTTTGAGTATCAAGATAATACGTACGGTTTATAAACTGTGACTGAATCTTACAAGAATAGTATAAGGTTTGTTTTTCTGTGACAAATGTTTTTACGATGGTAAAATATGTTGTAGCTGTTACAAGTCGTAGGAACGCTAAAAATTGCGTTATTTCTCGTAGGTGGCGTGTCGTTGGGTCGGAGGCGCGCCTTCGCCTGCCTATATATTTAGGACTATTCGTATTCCCGTCACGTCCGAGTTGAAGGAAGTCTCTGAAATGGATTTACTTTGCTGGCGTTTTGCATTTTACGAAGGTCTGTATAGCTGTATAATAAGAGTCATATTGACTTTGTTCCTTCCAGTTCTGTAGTCGGTAGAAAGTTTTTTGCTTACGAATAGCGTTCGAGGATAATGAATTCTTCAAATAAGTTGAATTTCATAATTAGTGATAATTAATGTTATTTCTTTTGTTGTTTTTAAGAATTTCCTTGTGGGTCTTCCACTTATCTTTAGTAACTGTGGTACATACATTTATTCGAGTGCAAAAAGAAGCCATGTAGACTTGTAATTAAAATAATATAGAGAGCAAAATCGTACTTAAATGTTTATTACGTTCGGCCTCTACATAGTACACATTTTGAGGTAAATTAAATATCTAAAAATACTTTAATCATATCTTTACAAAGCTTTCATCTCATCAAATAGAACACACTCGATTACTTTTTACTTGTACTCTGAGGCAGCATCCAGCGACGTAATTGCCTAGAGAAAATGTAAAAAGAGCTCTAAACTCGATTATCTTAGAATGTTTGACTTTCGCAAACTTGCTGAGACGTTAAGAGATACCAACACACATAGACTGCTGTACATAGTGACGGTTATAGAAAATAAATTGGCTTCATTTTTATTGTCTATTTTGTTAATATTCGCTTAATATAAAAGAGACATCATACTAGCATGAGTAATACAATATATGTAAATTTACTCCAGTTTTTATATTAAAATTGGCTTTTTTACCATGGTCTTAAATTTTATCTGTAAGTTGTTATTAGTAAATGAACAGATAATTGGCGTTAAAAACTATATGTAATTCAAACTTGATTGCGTCAATTGCTGCCAATCAGCAGAGATAAAGTTTTACTTAAACAAATTACTTGACACTTCTCAGTCGATGCTTACGGCCTTTAACAATCTAATTCAATTAAACTAATCAATCGGAAACCGAAAGCCCCTTTGTAGATAGTAAGTAAAGCGAAACTATCTGTTCCATTTAACATTATTTACGCAGAAATTGTTATATTTTTGGAGTAATAATTTTAAACAAATGTAATAAGCTTGATGTAATATATCTAAAACGAACTAAGACTTAACCCATTTTAGGTATCAAGTATGGTTTTATCTATACTTACTAATATTAATACAAAGAATAGTTTTATCGTGGGCATCTAATATTAAAGTCGATTTTTATTGCAATAATAATGACAATTAGTAATATTTAGATTTATTTCAATCAATACACAAATATTTAGTACAATAACATCATCATCATACACTTTTTTTTTCTATATTGTATAGACCCCATTACGGGTAAAAGCCTGCAATTACAATGCAGCGTTTGTGTTTATATATGACAAACTCGCATTTTTTCAACGTTTTATCCACTTACCATAACGCTGAATGACAATTAGTCTCGTTAGAAATAGTTAACAGAAAAATGAGGACAGGTTGTCTATTGTTGCCTATAATCTAATGGTAGCACTACATTGAATAAAATAATTGAACGAACTGAAATTTTTCATAAATTATTTCACCTTATCGGCAAAGGAGGCGTTGGATGTGTCCCTCGACTGTTACTCTGCACGTGACGCTGTAAAGAGAGATACGTGTCGTATGTGTACCCAAGTCGTTCATGCTCGGTACACCGGAAAGTGCTTGCTTTTTAGTAGGGTTCTTCCTAGAATTATGTCAAGTATGCGGCTTTTCAATTTCCCATTATTTCACACTTGACGTACGCTCGACTTGCGTAAAAATATTCGAGCTCCTGCAAAAAGGAAGTGAAATCAAAACAAGAACACGTATTTCATAACCTGTCCCATTTGTCCTTTGATATTGTTTCGTGTCGTATTTATGTTGACATCGAAATGATCCTTTAGAAGGGAAAATTGTATATTTTTGTTCTGAACAAAAATGGAAACCTTTTAGGCGAAAGTCGGTGAAATGTATAATGTATTGTAACAGTAAATCCGAGGATCAGTATTCAACGACCCTGACCCTTCGTCAGTGAAGGGGAAACTTGAGCGTGAATAAAAAAGAAGCCCTGTCCTTATTTCCCTCGGTGTTATTGTCAAATATTTTGTTTACATAATGAAGGAAGGTCCGAGCGCGAGGCCTCGATGGCGCCGCACGACGGCCGTAGCTTGCGGCAGTCTCGCCACGGCAGCCGCGTGCTACGGAGGCCGATGTCTACGTCGTAGCTATCCCTGGCTACGCAATACGTAAAGTGCTACACGATGCATTTTCTCATATTATTGGCATTTTTTGCCTCGGCCCAAGCACGTGCGGTAAGTTTTTTTACAGTGTTAGTTTCTATTTCTGTTTTATTAGTCCACTTCTGTTTTTTTTTTTGTTTAACTTATTCAGTTTGCTTCTCAAGTAGTATTAATATTTTTTTGTATTTAAAGTAACTTAACTTGGTTATCTTTATTATTTTTTTAGTTTTTAAAAAATAAAAGTAGATCAAGTTTAATTTTTTAAATGAGTTTTTATTATCAATCTATTATTTATTGGTTTTCTTGCTTTTTGAATGATTTTAAAATGATGACTAAAAATATATTTTCCATTCAGTGTGTAATTTTGAAAAAAATTTGGACTTAACAAAATTAGAATAATTAGATTAAACACCTTTCTAAGAATGTTTGAATTAATTACAAACTCAATCGAAGAAGTCGTAGATTTAGTTTGATAATTAACTTACCAGAGAAGTTAGATAGCTTGTTTTAACTCGAGGCTCTGAAATTTAATTTAAACATTAATACTACATAAAGATACTTCCTTTTCCTATTGAATTATTTACAATAGTAAGTGGATAGGTAGTTTTGCTGTTGATTTATTTTTATTTTTGTACAGAGTGAAGAGTATAATAAGACATTAACGTCATATTGCGCGAACTCTGTTGAAGTTACCATACATAAATATACTTCTGACCAAATAAGTACTAATATAATTTTTTAGACGAAGACTGTATTACCATATTTCTCGTTCTAATTTTGATAACCTTTATGTGAAACTTCCTCCAACTTCTGCACGCAATTTCAGATGCAAATTTCAATTCTGACTTGTAGGCGTCGACGAGCTGATTGTAGTTACTGAACACGAAAACAGGAATATGTTTTCGTTTTTTATGTTTTAAAATTTGCAATACTTTTTGTAATAGCATTAGGAAAGAAATATAATTATAATAGGCATAGAACGTTTTTAGAATTCTAAAGCTTCATTACTGAGTTTACACTGGGCCAGAGTGGTTGACTATGCCCTAGTCACCCTAACTTAGGGTAAGCTACGGAGGGCTTCGAAGCCCCTTAGTGGGGACGTATAGTGAACTGGTAAAAATTACTGAGTTCTGACTGAGTATCATGTTATTGATTCAAATATATTAGATTTTTTTGTTGTTAACTATAATAAATAAAAAATAATTATAAATGCTGTTTTTTATCAATAGGTGAACATCAGCAACACTTGGGTTCTTCCTGAGGAAGGTTTCCCGGTTTTCTACCGCTACTTCAGAGACCGCATCTCTTGGTACGAAGCGGACGCAGTTTGTCAATTCCATCATGCGAATCTGGTAACAGGTAAAGAATTCTTGTTTAATAAGATATTTCTATATATTGTAAATTTTTTATAATCTGTTAAGAATATATATGTGGCCATAAGACAGAAAATGAAGTGTAATATTTTGCATGTATATGACCAAATGAAGAGCATTTTTTGGCGATTATACCTATATTAATAAGTTATTGTTTGATCTGCACCTACATATATTTTAGAGATAGCTAATAACGCGGCCTGTTAAACACATAATGTAATCCCAAAACTTCATTATTACCGCATTCAATCATATCAAAAGCAAATATAGCTTCTTAGACTAACAACATAATTATTTACTATAATTGTAAACATTTACAATATTGATAATGTTGAAGTTACTGGCAACTAGCGACGTGAGACAAATGAAGAATAAAATTTTATAAAAAATAGAACGAATATCAGAAAGATTCGAATTAGTTTTTGACGGATGTCTTAGTTTTTACGTAAAATGCCTTCTTTTTCTAAAATGTATTATTTATAAGAAATAAAGTTTTTTTGCTAGTTTCCACGAAGTATTTACATTGCCCACATGCGCTTATAACTGCAAATACATTAACAAATAATAGTTAAATAAGTCATTTACTCTACATAACACATTAAATGAACACTTACAATTGAACATTTTTACTTATGAAGGGGAAGTTGTCTTTTGTTTTAAATGCATAGATATTTTACTCATTAATTTTCGAATTTGTATCTGCATTATTTTTCATAGCATTATGTAAAATTGTTGTTTTACAATTGAAAATAGCGGTTTTCATTACAGTTTACATGGTTTATGTCATTTTCAATTAAAAAAGCTGGTTTATTTTTTACTAGATTTCATTTGCGATTCCGTCCGCGCGTTATTCAAAAAATAAATTTATAAGTGGCCTGTCTTCTTTCAGACTATTTCCTACATCTGTAATAAATTTCATCGAGATCTATGAAATTCAGCACAGCAAAACTTTCGCATTTATAGTATTAGTAAGATTTATCATCTTTCGCCTTAACCTATTCCCATAGGGTCGGTGGTTATATTAGTAAGATTGATTTGCTAAAAAATTGAAAATGTAAATAAATACATACAAAGATAGCAGTTATCTAATAAGTTTCAATAGTCAACTTCGAAGTACAAATTCATCAATGATATTCATTTCACATACTTTGAAAGTCGGATTTAGCGTGATTCGTAAGTAACTTTATGGATTGCTAACTAAACTACTTTGACAACTTAAGCTCAGTTGTTGTCGGGAGTTTGTGAAGATACAAACTTATTAACGTGTTTAATATGAAATTTTGATATTCACATTTCTACTTACAGTAAATATGATAATTGACAAGTAAAATCGCGTGCTAAGATCATGTTTTTAATGTATCTCAACAAGTCGTCCATTTTAAACTGGTTACTATCACGTAAAAATAACGTTTTCTTTTTTTTTTTAGTTTTTTAACTGGCAGTACGACATTAGTGTGTTCAATTTAATAAATTCGTTAAATTAATATTCCTTGTATGGAAATAAAAGTTAAACATATTGAAGAAAAGTTTTTATATCGGTAAAAAATTTATTAATTAAAAAATAAAACTAAATAACCAATAACAGTATATCATTATAAAATAGCAGTAACGCAGCACCCCTGTGGTACCCAGCTTATTGTCGTCCTTGACGTCTAGTTTTCGCCACTCTGTTGGTTTGTTGAACAAGTCCCTTGTCACTTACACACGCTACGTCGACGTCGGTCCTGTTACTTATGAAGGGGAAGTTTTCTATTGTTAACAATGGAAAGATATTTTATTCATTTGTTTTCGATTTTGAATCTAGATTAGTTTCCATGGAATTTAGCTTATTGTGACTTAAAAAAATGTGACAAACTTTTGCCAAACAATGGAAGAAGTGATCACACACTATAGGTACAAATACATTAACACCAATACTTTATGAAATCCTGGTACTGGTTCTTCTAGGAAGTCGACGCAGTTTGTGAAAACATAAATATGTAACATTAACAAGGGATTCAATAAATTACAGCAGACGGCAATTATAATGTCGCCATTATAAAATTACGAAGAGCACGTATCATCCATTAAAGTGAGATTTTAAGTGCACCAGCATGTTATATTATATTTCAAAAGTTTTAATGGAAGCCGCCATTTGCTCGGTTAATTTAGAGGTCTGCGGTAACAATTATTATGCGGTATTTGAGCAGACAATATGTATATGTGATTTTTTTATCATTAAACTTAAAGTCTTGTAATCATTACTCTCAAGAAGGCCTTAATATATGAAACAATTATGATAAATTAGTATTAGTTTCATTTAGCTAATGTAATGAATTGGCTCTTAAGCTAAAGGGCGAGGTGTGCCGGTGACGTCACAGCGTGTGTTAGTCAATTACCAAACACAAAGGTGTGCCAGATATTGATCGTCGTCCCGTTTTATTTCTGAAAGAGCAAGTTACAAATGGCTCATTCCAAATGTGTGTCGTGTTAGGTGGCCATCTATAAAATGTTTTATAGGGTTGTTACAAATTTCCTTTTATGTTTTAGTGTTACATTTCTCTCGAATTGTGAATAAATCAAATTAAATGTTATATTATAACTTTATTTTAACTTGAAAAACGTACTTACTTTTAGGTCTTACTTAAATAAAGTACACTGCACGAACAGTAAGAAATTTTTAGAATAAAATTTGCTAACTTAGACAAATTTCATGCGTAATTTTCTTTTTAGTTGATACGACGGCACAATACGATGCCGTGCGCGCCTACCTTAAAGAATTGGACATATCTAGCGGGGTGTGGGTTGGATTGATTAGAAGCAATCCAGAAGGCGATTTTACTTGGACGTAAGTTAATTCAAATTTTATTATTACCATGCCATTTAGAATAATTCTTAAAACTAATGAATAAGGAATTAAACTTTACTATATCAATAAAAGTAAGTTTACGGCGTAAATTATAAATTAAAACAGCGCATCACTTTCACATTTTATTAAAAAAAAAGTTGGATGATTAGAGATTAAACTAATTTAAGACAGTGAAAAAGGTACTATTACCTTAAAAACGTAAGAAAAGCCAAAAACGATATAAAATGTTTTGGTATACAGCGATTACCGTGGCTTAAGTGGCGATGGCTACTGGAGCTCGGCGCCGGACCCGCGCACGGCTCCCCTGTGCGCCGCCGCCGACCCTACTGAAGACTACCGCTGGGAGGCACGAGCATGCGGTGGACCTACAGTCGCTTCTTTCATCTGCGAACTACCAGGTACTAAAATCTATTTAGTCTATGATATCGAGTCAGATGTATAGCTCAATAAAATTATACAAAACCTTCTTTTCTTATCAGTTCCGCAATGGGCACTTGGGAAAGAAGGCTGCATGGTGCGAGCGCTACCCGCCTTGACTATTCTGTATTTACCGGAAAGTGCAGCAGTACAGTTGACTGCTGATTGTGGCCTCGCTGGCGTCAAACGTGTGCAATGCACGGGAAATGTGGTATGACACATTGTTTTAAATACGATATACAATATTTAGGTATATTTTTAAACATGAACTATGTTTACAGAAGCGTGAAGATCTTCTACGCGACCTTTCATGTGCTGAAGAAGTAGAATCCACTTCTTTGAATAATTTAACTTTAAATATCACAATCACTGAGACCACGACATCTACAGAAAACCAAGAACTATCAAGTATCAGTGTCACTGAAGAAAATATGTCAATTGAACATGACAACGGGCATGGCAATTTACCTTCGAGTGTAATGTCTACACCCATTCCTTTCAACGAAAATGTAAGACAATCTACCATATCAGAATTGCCATCGACTTCGCAGCCTATTCATTACGAAATGAACAAAGTTATTTTAGAGAAAAATATTAACTTAAATGATATGCAGAATAACCTTCAAAGCAATGATATACCAAATTTAGTCAATAATGACAATTTTCTTACAAATTATCGAATACAAAAATTGGAAGATGAAGAAAATATGCAGCATAAAAAATTACACGACGAGCTAGCCAGACTTGGCAATTTTGAAACGATATTTACTCAACCAACCGATCACTTTGTACCTCCACTTGTTATGGCAAAAGCTAGGATTAGTGACGATATGAATGTTCTATCTTTAAAAGAAAAACATGCGCAACACTTTGGAATGAAGGATATGATAGAGAAAGAGAATGAGGAAAGTAAAGTAAATTTGGAAGGGGGATCTGAGATTTCAACTGAACCTCCGCATATAACAGAAAGTACGGTAGTATTGATCACGGAAGGAGTAACAAAATTAAAAGATAATGTAAAGAAAAATATATCACTATTAAAAAAATACAAAGACCTTAATACCAAAATTCCCCAGATTTCTAAAAGTAAAACAAAAAAGGTAAACAAAGAGACTATCACAGAAATCACGAACGAGAGTAAACCAACTTTTGTTAAAACACCTTTGGAAATTGCACCAACATCCACATTGGGAACTACAGTCGTAACTGCGATTTATGAAAGTCAAAATGACTCGAACATTGATTTGACTGTTATTTTACGAGAAACAGACGACGAAAGACATTTTAGTCAAGATTTAACTAATGGCACTGATGACGGAATCGTTAAGAACACGACAAGAAATCTAACACAGTTTGTTCACTCTACCACAGAAATTATAGATTCTTTCAACGGAACACAATTAAATGTACAAGAAACACAGGAAAAATTAAACAAAAGTGGCAAAACCTTGGAACAAATAAGCACTAACAGTAGCAATGGAAATGACATCAACATTTCGGAAACACCACAAACTCTGGATTTTACAACTAAATTGCCCATTTTTAAAGACGAAATAATTAATATGCCGACTACAAATTTCAATATAAGTATTCATGATGATACCAACAAAACTGTTTTCACTACTACTGAAGTTATTGCTACAATCATAGATGATATACAAATATCTGGTTCTAATTCTTCAATCGATTTGCCTTCTAACACAGTAGACAGAGCAAATTATACTGAAATAACTGAAAGTTCTCAAATTACTACTAAACCGGAATCACCGATTATAAATTCCGCAAATCAAACTTATACTCCAGATCATGAAACTACTCTGTATCCAGTTTTCAGTGATGCTTTTAACTACACTGAAACGGTAGAAGAGATAGACGAAAGGGCTGGTGATCTCGAAACTATTGACGATTTCCAATCACCTTTACTATCCGGTGCTAACGAACCTTTGCAGAGGCCTAACAGGTCAAGAAGACCTAAGCAACCAAATAGAGTAAATAAATTCAATCCTTTTCGTATTTTAGGTTAAGCCATTCAAAGAAACGTAAACTGCCAATTCTGTACTAACGACTGAACAACCATTGCACTCTAATGTAATTGCATCACATTTATCTACAATTACACGTAGAAGCACTAATCTTAATGATTAACTTTTTTCCAAGTCATAATATTAATATTCCATACTGTTTTGTGTGTTTGTCTCGTTTGAATTTGAATGAGAAAAAACGTCAATTTATGGTAACGATTTAAAAAAATATTGGAAGCTAGTTTTGAATTAAGAATTGGATTGTAACGAGTTAATAATAAGTATCGCAATCAATAAGAGAATGTTCTCACATTATTAGTAATAGTTATGTTCATGAACCATATCATATTAGGATAAGTAATTTAATTATAATTAAGACATTTTTTAAATATGACGACGCACAGTGAGTTTGATAAAATAAACATTAGAGCACAAAATCACGAAAAACATTTAGTAAGAAGAATAGGATTTAAGACTTTATAATCACAATCAAAGTGATTTTTGAGTTCATCATAATCTTATGAAATAAGATATTGTAAGAAATTTATATAAAATACATAACTGATATTGTTGTTTTTTTTTCTCCTATCCTCAGAAAATATTCCTTAGTTTACTTGAATTTTTGGACAAATGTACCAAGAAGTGACAAGACTAGGTTTTGAAATTAAAAGAAATATGTCGATATTACATAACTGAGAATAAAAGCCGTAACAAATTAAATTAAAAAAAATCTATGTTAGAGCTGTTGAGCATGTTCGCAATAAAATATTTAGGTATATATTTTCCCCAGAATCAGACGTTGCCCAAATATATGCCCTAAAGAAAAGCGTAATCTGTAGTTTTTCACATATAACACTACGAGTATAAAATAATTCAGAGTATTATAAAACATAACAATTACGTATTAAAGTTTTTCGGGCTAACCAAGTTAAATCTCATCAACTTAACGTTTACATAGTAAGGGTCCAACAATATTAATTTTACTTATGTTTCAGGCCGGAGGTTATAAGGATCCGTATTATGTTTGATTATTATGAGGGTCGGAACGGATTTAGAAAAGCTTGCTTTCGAAATTGCTTCAAAATTTACCATGTTGTTCGTTAACATAGTAATATTACAAGTACCATTTCAATAACTTAGAAACAAGGTTATAACTTAAAATGGCTTTTTTATTGTTTTATATTTATTAATTAAATAGTGCCGAGGGTAGCGAGGCTGCGGGCTATTTTTTTAACGTTCCAATTAAAGTTTTGTAAATGCAGACGGAAAAATATTTATTCACTTAATGAAGCTGATCTCTCTTTAAGAGCTTATAAATGTTGGTTCGCTTTTAGTCGTAATGAGAAGTCTTGATGAGTGTATTTGTTTTTATTCGTTTAAAGGAACTGCTTTTTAACGAATATTTAATGTTGAATAATTTATGTCTCTGACGAATCACTTAACGTGAAATTAATGGCTTATGAGAAAAATGTTTGTATAAAACACGATTTTTTTATAAATGTTTGCAGTTAGACATAGACATATTTATGTATAATATTTCTACTTACAAACGATGTTATTTACTTTTGGAAATAACTATGTACTGTATTGTAAATTCATTGTTTATCTATAACAAAATGTATGTAAATAGATTACTTTATATGTAAAGCAAAGAACATAAAATGCGAGAACTATGAGTGCTATAAAGACGAAGAGTAATGACGTCGGACGGTCCAGATTTCTATTAAGATTATCGGAAATATGTTTTCCGGATAATCCCTCGTATTCGTAGCGAAATGACGAGACATAAAATTGGATTTTGTTACAATTTTATATCACAACTTTCGACTATTACTTCGTCTGGGGAAGATAACTTGAGTCTTTATTTACCATAAGCTGTTCCCGTGCGGCTTCACCCGCATGAAATTATGAAAATTTTATTTAATCGTTTATATTTGTTAAATTATCAATAACAAATGTCAAAATGACATGACGTGACAAACCTTAGCAATCTTTCTTTCTTGATGTTGGCAGCAACTTATGGTCTCTTTCCCACATTAAGGTTTTTATCCAAACCATTTACCCCCTAAGTTTAATGGCGTGCAAATGTATAGCCTAAAGCATGACGTAAGTGTAGGGCTTCTTGTTAAAAAAAAGAACTATTCAAAATATGCTGTAATTGCTGACATCTTAGGCAACACAGAAGTGTGTGTTTACGCTTTATTATAATAAAAATAAAAAAAATATAGATTTAACAGAACGAGTAACTACTAAACAATAAAAGGATCTTAAAACGTAATAAATTGAAGTCTGTTTTTTGTTGTTAAAGAATAAATCTTGTTGAAAGTAGAATGATTTACCACAAACTATGTAGGTACTATATGTTTAAAGTAATGAACTAGCGCATACAAAATATGCATTTGCAAAATAAATAGAACAGACCGCGGGCTTGTGAATGCAGCTCTTTATATTAACGGGATCGTTTTTAACTTGAAGCTTTTGAAGGTTCTTTCATTAAAACGTAGTGCTCCGGCTTCCGTATTATGATTTAAATGTTCGAGGCAATTAAATTATTAAATTCCATTTACAAACAAAGACTGGATTTTAATTATTCGCTAGCATTTTTAGTGTTTAAATTCACTGTTATGTTGTTATCAATGTTGATATTATTTGCTTCAGGATTTTTGTTATGTTTACAAGACAACCTCTGTAATTGCTCTCATATTTGTTGCTAATTTTACGTGGTTTAAAGTAAATTTTGTATTAAAAATTGTAACATTATAAAAGTTAAATAAAATATCTTAAACTAGATAGCAATAGCTATATGCAAAACTGAATCATTAATCAAATATTATCATTTACTTATTACAAGACGTGATAACATCAATCTTCGTAATTTATGCGACCCCGCATAGTTTCTGAGATTTTAAGACAGAGGTTATAAATTACTCTCATCCTTGGTGCGGAAATTCACGAAAGATTATAAACTACCTGACACTCGAGATTTGATTTTGTTTGGAACCTTCAGGTTCTAGAATACTTTCATAGTTAATTATGTAGGGTTGGGGCGGTAAAAAAAACAGCCGTCTTCGTATAAAGCTTTCTTTTTCACCCTTCCCTACTTTACAAGATAAAAATTCTTCACTATTTTTTTCCGTCTTATTACACGTCTTTCTTGCACTCCTTCCTGCATTCACTCTATCTTTTATACGTCAGTCAAAATCACTCAAATATTTCAACATACAGTCAAATATTTTACTTTTACAGTTAACATGATTAAATTAAACATATTAATATATTATAAGTTTAAAATTTTAGGCTGCAAAAGGGGTATAAAATACTTCATGTTACCAACTTCTATACGAGGAGTCGCGTGGTTTGTAATGATACGTGGAAAAGCCTAATAAATGGGTCATAGGATTAAGCAAAGGTCTTCGCAGACGACTTGTTGGACCGTTATGTGTTATCGGCGACAGTTTAATGGCCTTCTATTAGCCTTAATGAGGTTCTTGGGTTTAACCTTGCAAGATACTGACACACACTAGCTTTAATGTCATATAACACTATCTTAAACCACATGAAGTCAATGATTTACCCTTAGTAACCTTCAGTATAATGTACGCTACACACATTAGGTTTTTACACAACAACTTTTGTAACATAGGCATGCGAAATCTAACGTGTGCGGCCTGCACTTACCAGCTTAATATCGACTTTTGTAATATCGAACTGAAGTCACGAATTTAATGTAGAAAGAAATACTCAGATTTTTTTTAAAAGAATTATTTTTATAATGTTATAGCTTTTATTGTCTTTATAAACTCGTTGAACAAAACCTCCACTAACATCTCCACATCTCGTTATTAACAAATCGAAAACTTTTTCTTGCCAATAAACAACTACAAATATTCAACGTCAAAGATGTTTCTTATGTATTAACAAGGGGACAATAACCATTAACTTATAATAACTGATTCATTAATAATTCTAAAAAGACAGACAGAATGGTAGGTGTGTATGCAGAATATTGCAGCCACCAGTTTTACAATTAGATAATCATATCAAAAGTACGCGTAAATACTTACAATATAACATATATAAAAATTTATCCTTCGAGCCATATCAGATGTCGATCTAGAAATAACTTTTACATTTTTACTTATCCGTGAATACTAAAATACGGTAAGAGGAGCTGACGAAAACAACGCTCGTGTGCGCAGGGAAATAGAAAAGCTCTCAAGCGTGAAATGTCGCCTTCAAATACGTAAACTTTGTATGAAATAACAGATGGATATAAGAGAAAAGTTTGTTCGGTAGCAGACGACTAGGCAATTTACAAAAAATAATATAACTTTCATGTATACGAAAATAACTTCTAATTTACTTTCCTATCAATTTGAGAGTAGACAAGTTCTTTCTAACAGTTTTTATTCTAAATTAAGTTGCCTAACATTGTAACTTTTGGATAAAATAAAACAGACAAATATACAAGAATGTATGGTACATTTAGCAATGCATAGTGAGACTTAGCAATAATACGCTTAACAAGAATGTATTTGGCAGAAAGCCCGCCACGGTATCAAATCGTTAACCGTTTACTATTGTAGCATTTCCAAGTCCTGGACATTAATTTCTGATGGCGAACATGTTTATAATAGCAATAATAGTAAAGACGTGATAAGTGTGGGAAGAAAATTATTTATATTGTAAACAAGCTGTTACTCGCGACTTCATCCCCATTGAAATTTTAAAAAGTAGAAAAAACAGAGCCTATATTACTCATTGATAACGTAGGTTTTTAATGGTGAAAGATATTTTAAAATCGTCCAAGTAGTTTTTGAGATATTTCAATACATACAAAAATAATAATAATCTTTCCTATCTATACTATTATTATAAAGCGTAAACACACACTTTTTTGTTGCCTAAAATGTCAGCAATTACAGCATATTTTTGAATAATTCTTTTTTTAATAAAAAAAGCCCTACACTTACGTTACGCTTTATATTTCCACGCCATTAAATTTAGGGGGTTAATATTTTGGATAAAAACCCTAATGTGAGAAAGAAACCATAAGTTGCTGCCAATATCAAGGAAACAAGGTTGCCATGGTTTGTCATCATGTCGTCTTATTTTGACATTTGCAATTGATAATTAGACACATGTAAACAATAAAATTTTCATAATTTTATGCGGATAAAGTCGCATGGCAACAAATAGTTCTTAATATTAGTATAGATATACGAGTAGATATAAATTAACTTGATATTCGAATACACCATTTGACATGAATTATAAAAATATGCTTTTTAGTTCAATAAATGTGTTTAAAATAATTTATATGAAAATTTCTCTAATAGTCTAATGGTATTTCCAACTTGCCGCTGCGACTAATTAATGTTGGTGCAACTTAACCTGCTATTTGCAGTAAGGGTGTGCGAGCTAATTATAGCCTACGGTGCCCTACATA